GTTGTTTCTAGCAGTCGTCTCGTTTTACATGTGTCAGGTCTTGTCTCAGCCGTGTATATAGGTCTAATTCCTGCTTTATAGATTCTTGTTTTTGTGTCTTGTCTTGGGTGTTTGTTCTTCCAGATTGTGCCATTAAGAGAACACGCCGCTTTACCTTCTTTTAAGCTTTGCTGTCGTACTTCTCCTTCAACATCTCCGTAACTGGTTATATCTATTCCCAGATATCTAACCCTTGCTTCCGGCTTTATTATTTTCCCATCAATTTCGATTTTACACCGTAGTGGGTATTTAAATGTCATACATTTGTATTTTCCGCTGATATTATCATATTGTATTTCTTAGCTGTTGTATTGAAGATATGTGTTAATCTTTAGAGCTCATCTTCTGTCTCGACGATTAATGCGGCGTCGTCTGCATAACATAATATTTGGATTTCTTTGTTCCCAATTCTGTAGCCATGACTTTTACGTACTACTTGTATTATTTCGTCCATTAATATATTAAAGAGAAGTGGGCTTAACGAGTCACCCTGTCTCCGCTTTGTACCGGTATACACTGTGTTAGTTTTCCATTTATCTTTGCTTGTAGTGGATTATGGAGGTAGATGCTTTCGATTGTTTGTATAATATTGATTGGTATGTTCCTTTTATACAGTAGGTGTAAGACGTCTGCGACTTGGATGCGATCGAAAGCCTTTGTCAGGTCTATAAAACATAGATATGATGGCCTTTTCTGTGATTTGTCTTAGTACAAATACGGCGTCTACGCAGGATCATCCGGATCTGAATCCTTGTTGTTCATCTGATAAAGTTGTTAGTTTATTGATTTTGTTGGTTAAGGCTTTTGTGGTAAGCTTAAGTGCGGTGTTCAGTAGATTTATACCTCTATAAATGTTGGGGTCTTCTTTATCTCCTTTCTTGACCATTGGTATCATTATGCTGTTTCTCCATGCGTCTGGTATCTTGCAGTGCAATATTAGTTTTTGTATAAGTTTTGTCATCTCTAGGCTTAAACTTTCTCATCCGTATTTTAGAAGCTCGTTGGTTATTCCGTTTGGTCCTGGTGACTTTCTATTTTTGAGTGAATTTATGACTATTTCTACTTCGTGAAAACTGATTTCTATTTCGTCTCTTAGTTCAGGTACGTTATTGTGTTGATTATTATTTTCCTTTGCTTTAAACAGTTCCGTCAGGTATCTTTCCCATTCGTTTGCTGGTATATTATTGTATTCCTTGAAGATATTGATGATAATATTATTTGTGAAGAATCAATAAAATCGGATATTGCAGGTACATATGAAATACAAGTGATTGGGAATTCTAACGATTCTAATTATGATATTCCTCTGAACCACAGATAAAACGTCCAAAGAAAAAACCAATAAGTAAAAATAAGGCAAAAATAGTAAATCCAAATTTATCTCAAGTTATAATAACGGATATTCTTTCGTGCTCGGTAGTAATTCAACATCAGTCTGATTGATATTTAGACAATATAAAAGCCAACCATGTAGGCAAGTCATATATTGAAGTTTTTTCACTCTTTTTGATAAAAAAGTAATTGAGAATAACCGTCACAATTTTGAAATGAATAACATATATTTAAAAAAATTATTAACATATGTATATTATCTGGTTTACACTCTGCTTCAAGTTGATATGCATTGGTCAAAGGATGAGGATAAAGAAGTGCATACTATAAGAGAAAGCATGAGCCGACATAGATTTATAATTTTAACCCATCTTTTACCAACGGTAAGAAAAACGAATATAATTTCACAAAATTAGTTTTATTCGTTAAAGTAAAGCCTAATTAAGAAAAAAAATTAACAAAAAAATTTTTCATGTCCTTAACTTACAAAAAAAACACTGGTGCGTATACGCACCACTGGCTAAATCCGTTAACAATGGTATTGTGAAAAACAGTTGGCGTGCAAATGAACTTTGCACTTTTGGCACGTATATACTGTATGATTATGACATACTCTGCAACGTCTACGCTTTTCTTGCTTAAAAATAACGTGATCCAGATGATCTGTGCGAAATTCATTTGGTACATTCACTGGAGCCGCATGAGATTCTCTGGTATTTTCGAATTTCAAAAGTCGCAAAGCTAGGTAAGATCTAAAGTCGATTTGCGACATTTTATCATGATTTGCTATATTATATATTTTCCACGAATTCACGATCATATTATCTAAGACATTTTTAAATAAGGGCCACCACCACTTCTTACCCATAACCGCTATCCGGTAGTTGGAGACACCATTGTCGTGTAAATCTACACCACCCATGTTTTTATTATATTGGTAAATCACTGCAGGCTGTGGCACACTAACAATTTTTTTTTGTGGTCGGCTGTATCTCCTTGCAGTTGCCAATGGTTCAATATGGTAATGAGTGCTAATCAATGTAACTATTGAGTTATCGTGCCATCTTACTAAAGAAATGTGCGTATTCTCCTCAAAATAAGAGTCATAACAACCCCTAGGGCTTTTTTTCATAACGTTTGCACATTGTAGAGGACACCCTTCTGTTCTATCTGCTCTTATCGTGCCTGTTGCAAAAAACCCTTGTTCTTTCAGTGTTCGAAATAAACCATAGCATGAGAAGAAATTGTCGAAAAATATGTTGTGATTCTTCTTATTTTTTATAATTGATAATAAATCCAGAACAACTCTGGTACCCAATGTTTGTTTTTTGTCCACTGCTCAGCAGATGCACCTTGATAGGGCACAAATTTGTACATATATCCCTCGCTAGAACAAATACACCAAAGTTTAAAACCAAACCTTACTGGTTTGCCTTTTATAAACATTTTACACGAGTGTCGTCCAAAGTATGGAACCATTTCTTCGTCTATAGATATGTTGTGTGAGAACACTCCAAATTGCATGAACTTTTCATTCGTTTTGTCAAAAAATGGGCGCAATTTACAAAACTTATCACTTGTATCAAGCTGTCCACTGTCACTTAAATGCAAATTGCGTTTTATGGAGGTAAATTTGTTACGGCTCATGCAGTCTTTTACCACCTGTACCCCTTTATCTTCGTCAAGTGACCAATACATGTGAGTTTGAGGTAGGTGTGGTATCCCGATAAAATTAAAATTCCAATGAAGTTGAGAAGGTCTTTTTTAGTTAGACTAAAATCATGTCTGTTATTGGCATAAGCATATTGTAAAGAATATTGAACAATCATATCTTGAATATCTAAGTCAAAAAATAAAAAGAAAATTTCTAATGGTGTCAGTCCTTCCAAAGCCTTCAGAGATTCAGTAGATGCTTTTTCGTTTGATTCAGGCAACTGCTTATGTAAAAATTGACCTTGTTTCCACTTGGGACTCTCTTTCACATTTTTTTCTTTCTTACTTCTTGATTTACTGTTTGTTGGTAACGAATTGTCACTCGATTCCGCTACGAAACGCAAATCTTCTCCTACATCATGTAAATCTTCCTCTCTAGTGTGGATTTCAAATGTGCCGGCAATATCTTTATTGTGGCCCGTAAATTCATTTCCAATTCCCTCTGGATCTGGAATATCTTCCTCATCAGTTAATTCATTCACGTCTGGTGGAATATAAACAATATCTATTTCACCTAAAAATTACAGATGCTGCAGCATGCATACAAGATAATGTAAAATAAAAATACGTACGATCATTTTCCAACTCAGCAACTACCTCCTCTAAAGCTGCTTCAAGCTGTTGTTGTGTAAGAAATTTGGGCATGATTATAATAAGAATAGAACAATTTTTTATAACCAACTATAAAACATAAGAATCTCAACTCAACGGCGCCGGCGTTTGTAACAAACAAGACTAATCACAGACAGAGACAACATTTCAGTAAGATCCTTCAAGGCCAAATCCAATAACACTGATAGTGGGGACGAACTACATATTTAGCCAGTAGTGCGCTAACGCACCAGTTGTGTTTAGGGTAACATTATAAAAAAAATTGAAAAGATACAAACATTTCCTCGTATAGTATTATAACTTCAGTCTTTCCTGTTACTAATTTCAGCATATTTTTTACATATACAAAAAATCAATAGTTTAAAACAAATGTCAAAGATGGACGTACGGATAACACCAATTTTACTAATTTTTGAATATTGATTGGAGACTTATTTTATTTCGTAGGCAACAGGGCATATTTTTTATGAGTTGTCTGTAACTTCAAAAATCAACTGAATTTATAAAAATTTCAAAATATTTGACTACTGTGGTAAAGAAAAAATTAAAACTGAACTGGTGCGTTAACGCACCAATGGTAAAAGATGGGTTAATTTATAATAGTGAAGAAACCGCTACATCAGTGTCAGTACATGGGCGTCAATCTAAATTTGCTTTACCAGATGAAACCAGATTCGACAATATTGGCCACATTATAAAAAGAGACGATAGTGCAAAAATGTAGGATGTACAAAAGTAATACTATTTATTTATCTAAAAAGTGTAGAATGCATCTACATCCCGAATATTTCGAAAAATTTTACCTTAAAATTTAATTTACGTTTAAGATATAATATGTTCCTTTATTAAAAATTGTACTGTTTTCCTTAAAAATGAGAAAAAAAATCTTTCTGGTTGTAATTTATTCCTAATTTGTGTTTTTAATCCAATCTAATAAATTAATTGTCAAATTTCTCTTTGTATATTGAGCGGCCGTTAAGGGTTTAATACTATATAAAGAATAAACTGGCCTTAAATTTACTTTACTTACCTCAAAACTATTTTAAAGTTAATAATAAAGTATATTTAATAAATATATTCCCAATAATACACTACGCCTATGTACATTGTATAAAATCTGGAAGATATCATATTTCATAAACTTCAATAAGCTAAGATATCATATTTCTCTAATTAACATTCGTTCTAAAAACGTAAATATATATAGACCAGCAAAATATTGATAATTTTACCGATGTTCCAAACTATTCTATGAACTTGTCTCACTATACACTCGTGAATCACACCAATTTATACTGTTACAGGGGCAAATTTATCTTAGATGGGTTACAAATTTACATATTTACATGGGCGAAGCATACAGAATAAAAATGACCCCGGTAAGAATTTACTAATAAAATTTTTCATGGTTGCCGCTACCGTTTAGTTCAATTTGTAGATTAGTCACCTTTAATTAAAAATTGTCCGACTATAGAACATTTATCATTTATATTTTTATTGGAAAATGATTGTTATACATTTGCAGGTGATGATGGTTCTAACTGGAGAATCAAATACCACAAATCCAATAAAAATTTCAGCAAGTGCTGCACATTTGGATAATTCAACGTTAAAACTATCTCAGCTAAATTTGCTGGAAGTAAAAGAATGTCTTAGAGACTATACATTATTTTTGGTTGCTAGACATCCTTTTGAAAGATTATTGTCAGCTTACCGGAATAAATTTTTGGACAATTCGCCGAACAACAAATATTTCAAAGTAAGTAAAACTTTTAGTAGAAGATTTTTATGATTTAAAACACAAATACTGTTTACATACTATAGCAGTATATATAATATTTATACACCAAACTTAAACTATTTACTTTAGAAAATGATGAAAGATCTGGAAGACCACTACAGCTGTGTTTTGAAGTCGTTTAATATATCAGAATCCTACTAGAGGAAGGATTTATTCAGGAGTTTACTGTTTGATTGCTTTATTGAAGCTGACCTTCCTGAAGTTTTTGACGATTGGCTCTGCCTATTTTCCGAAGTCTAATTTTATCTCTTTCATTATATTATATGTAAGTATTTTGATGTTAAACATCTAATGCGATAGTTAGACCGGCTGCTGATTTGACAAGGCTGCGCATGCCATTCACACTTGTAAATCTTCGATTCTTTCTACATAGGCTCTGCTCTATCTTTCTTACTGAGCTAAGATCGTATGCATAATCTAGAGAGTATGCAATATTGGTAACATACTTTAAATTTATCAGCATTATATCAGGTAGAAGAGTCTACTAATCAATGTACTGTTGTGACAGGTTGTTTGAAATAATCACTGATGGTAGTACAAGCACCGTACGACGGAATTTGCAAAATGGACTGCCTTAAGGATCTGTGCTTGCCCCAATCCTCTTTGATCTGTATACATCTGACATCCCTCCAGTGATGTCAAGGAAATTTGCATATGCTGGTATCCTAGCACTAGCCGTTCATCATAATACAATAGAAGGTACAAGCAACAGACTGACAGAAGATTTGGCAGTCCTAGGTAAATACTTATATTAAAACAATCGAAGATAGATACAAGGACAATAAAACGGAGACCAGAATAGATGGAAAACTGACAGAGAATAGACATAGATACATATATAAGGTAGAGGGACTCCTTAAGCCCTCTACTCTTTAATCTCATAATGGATACTAACTAATTCAAAATAATGACGAAGAAGTTAAACATGGTCATTTCAACCCAGAAAAAAAAACAATAGTCATCAGCAAAGAACCGACCAGATATAAAATAGTAATTGACGGAACCAGCATTATCCAGTTACGGTGATGTAGAGCAGAGGTAAAAAAACAAATACAAACTAAGACAAGAATTTACAAAACGGCGAATACTAAGAAGAATCGCGGGAAACGCCGTGCGGGATCGAAAAAGAAGTGACGAAATCAAAACAGCATGCAAACTGGAAATAATAGGCCACTAGATACTAAATAGGAAGAGAGGATGGAATACTCATATAAGCAGAATGGCAGATAGGGTAGTCTTTTTCTTCTTTTTATGCGGACATGACTCTGTTTTTCAATGTGCCTATAGTAAGTTGTCGTTTCTTAGTTTTTGTGGTCTTCATACTAATCGTCTTCCTTTGGATAACCGTCTCTTGCCGTCTTTACTACTCTATTTGTTGTCATTCGGCTTATATGATCGTTCCGTTCTACTTTTCTTTCTATTTCTTACCCAGTCCTTGATGTTGTTCACATTACATATATGTCGTATATCTGTACTTCTAGCTCTTTCCCATTGTGTTTTACCATCAATTTTTCTGTTTCTAACATTCTTTTTGTCCTCTATGTGTCAGGTTGTGTTTCTGTCGCATGTCATTATTGGTATGATGACTGTTTTGTAAATTCTGCCTTTCATATCTTTCCCGATATTTTTATTTCTCGATATTGTTTCATTCAGGCAACCTTTTAGCTCTGTTTGCTCTATTCATTTCATCATCTACTTTCAAACTTTCCGTAGCGAAATAATGTTATGCCTAGATATTTAAACCCTATCACTTGTCCTATTATCTGACCTTCCAGCTCCAATTAACATCTTAGTAAATTTGCTGTTTTAAATATATTTTTTGTCTGTTTTGGAGCAATTAACATGTTAAATTTTCTGACAGTTATATTAAATTGGTGCAGCATACGTTGTAAATCATCTTCACTTTGAGAGAGTAGTATTGCGTCGTCTGCATAGTAGATTATTTTATGTTGTTTTCATCCCATTTGGTATCCTTTTTTAGTTCTTACTTTCTTATTATTTCATTCATAAGGTTAAACAATAGAGGACTCAGGGTCTGTCCCTGTCTTATCCGTTATTCCTAAAGGTATCTCTTTTATCTTTTTTACCTTTACAAATTAATTAATTGATTCAGTCATTAATACCCTTTTCTCCAGATCAATACGCCTTTGCGATGATGCAAGTATACCCTCTGAGCTCTCTAGTTTAAAACAACCCCTCAGCCAAAACGTTTACCGCGAAAATCACATCAATAGGAACATCCACAGACAACAGTCTCCCACTCAATCTCAAAACTCAGACTCAGACCCTCATCATACGAAAGCTTTTCTTGCTTACATCAAAGGTGTCACTGACAAAAAAGACAAAATTCTTGAATCATGAGGAATAAAGACAATATTTACCCCCCAACAAAAACTTTCATCTTTTGTCAACTTATGAATGCCCCCGATCCTATATAGGCCAAACAAATCGTAGAATTAAAAATAGGATTTATGAACATTCCAGTATTTTGTCTCAAGTTTGGTGTATAAATATCAGAAAGACACATAATAAAAAACCATGTATATTGACTAATATAGTATATCTGCTAAATTTGATGAAATAGAAAGTATTTTTTATTTTAGCTTCGTTATGGAAAACACATTATTGGAAAATATCGTCAACATCCTTCAAAAGCGGATTTGCAAACAGGCGCCAACGTAACATTCCGGGAATTCATTCAATACCTTATCAAAGAAGGAGTTCGAACAAATGAACATTGGGCTCCTATATATGACCTATGTCTGCCATGTACACTTAATTATACATTTATAAGCCACTACGAGACTATTACTGATGACTCCGCGACTATCTTGAGAATGGTTAAAGCGCCTAATTTGTTATTTCCTGTAACCAAATCAAAAAGAACCAAGGATAATTTGAGGTTTTATTTTCAACAATTGTCCATCTACGAGATAGAATTTCTCTATAAATTATATGAGGCTGATTTTAAATTGTTTGGGTATGGTCTTGAAGATATATTAGGTTATGACCTAGCTTAATTTTATGAATTTGGTTTTGAAACTACATTAAGAATTTAAAGTTCTTAATTTTTGATTTTTATCGTTTTTCAGTAAACATCGGATAGAACCTTTTGGCATTATAAATATTTCAGTAACATTCTATTTTATTAAAATTCAAAATAACGAAATAATCGCAAAAAAGGTGGTTCTTAGAGATTTATGAACATGTAATTAGTGAAATTTTATTTTATAATCTTTGGGGTTAGTTTAGGGAATCTTAAAAATTATGAAAACGTACGATTCATTTGAGGCTGCATGACGAAAAATGAAAATATTGTTTTATATTGAAAGTTAAATTTAGAAAAAAAAAATATCAAGAATTTTTACCAGTGCGTTATACCGCGAAAGTGTTTTGAATGATTTTGATCTTTTGTTCCACCAATCTTCTTAATCTCATACCATTTCGAACATCTATACAATATATTAAGTTGTTTCTCTTGCATTAGTCAAAACTAATGATAGCCTGTCAATACTATCATATATTGGGTTACCCTGTAGAGTATTAAATACTTAAATGAATTCCTTTAGTTGTTTTGGTATTATCTATGTATAAGGACAATGTAAGTAGTTTACTAGCTGATGGTTGAAGTTAATATGAGTAAAAATTCAAACATTATTCGTAATATCAACTGTGTTCAAGCTATTTGTGATACATTATAAATGTAGACGTAAATTTTTAAGAAAATATATTAGAAGTAATTTACGCGAAAATTTAACTATTAAGATAACATTTCTAATGACATCGAAATTTACGATCAACATTTTTTTTTCTATATAAAAATGGAGATATTGTAGATAAAATAGTTAAATGTACAATAATTACCATCGCATATATGGATGCGATTTACTTAAAAATTGTGTATATGAGAATTATACAAAAGGCTTTAACATTTATATTGAATATTTAACATATTTAAAACCTTGAGTACTAACACAAGAAAAAATAGATAAAAAAGAAAAATATGTTTAAAAAAAAGAAAAAATAGATAAAAAAGAAAATATGTTTTACTACAATACGTTTTACAAGAATTTTAATTTATACCAAAAACAGACGACTTAATCTCATATTGAATAATAAGCTGTTTTAAGTTGCTAGTTACGATGCACACGCTAGCCCAGTGGGACCAACGGCTTAACGTGCCCTCCGAAGCACGGTAATCGACTAGTATCATATTTAGAAATGAAATGGTCGTTGTTGGTGCCGAGATTCGAATTTGTGTGCTTTCGTTTATGAAGCCAGTATCTTGCTGCTGAGCTACGGCCGTCTACAATCTCAAATTAAGAATAACAGCAGATTAAATATTATGTGTTATCGGTTATATATTAATTTAAACAAAAAATAAAAAAAATCAAGATAATGATACTCAAGCGAGGGGACATAAATATACGATCAATGAGGATATCGAATAAAGCTAAACTCATTTACACATTTAGAAACAGGTCAACATTAGATTATCGTAAGATATACATCACTTAGTTGGACATAAATTTAAGTCAAGATTTCAAAAAATTTGTTTAAAGTAAATTAAAAGCCCCCTAAACCAGGGACAAAAGGACGGGAAATATATATATATATATATATATATATATATATATATATATATATATATGTATGATATGTATATGATTATATACGTATGATGTATATGATTATATATATATATATATATATATATATATATATATATATATATATATATATATATATATAATCATTGGTACATACTTCAATACCTTAAGAACAACATGCCTATAAAGCAGTGAGTTCAACCGAGACGGCACTCCACAGACTTGTAGAAAATTTAAGAACACAATTGAAATTAAAGAGGTGATGCTGGTAGCCTTTTTGGATATAGAGGGAGCTTTCGATAACATCCATAACCAATACCTTGAGACGTAAAGGAGAGACGTGAGTCGAGGACATACTGCTGTGGAATCTGGTGATGGACGGACTAATAGGAACTTTAAATGCAAATGGTCATAAAACAATTGGATATGCGGATGATTTAGTAATTATCTCGCAAGGAAAGTACAATACGGTATTCAAAGATCGCATGAACGAGACCCTAGAACTAGTGACACAATATACTTATAGAGAGGGGTTAAATATATCCATCATAGTCGCCTTCACACGCATACGGATTAGTTTCTTTAAAGTTGTAGGGACAAAAAATTCAATTAAACGGAGATGTAAAGTATCTCGTGGTTATACTAGACTCGAAACTTACCTGGAACCGGCGATTAGAAGACTACTCCAACAGCAGCTATGGAGGCTCTACTAGATTTGCCTTCCTTGCTTTTGATACTACAAATACAAGTAAGATTGGGCGCCTACAGAATAAACAATCACTGAAACTTGGCAACGAAAGGACATGAGATAAAAGTATCATAAAGTCTGTGACGAAGGACATTTTTTCCTGACAGGCATGTATGGAGAAACAAAGAGTACCATACCCGACAGGGTAAGATGTCGTATACAGAGAGATTCAAAACTACACGGAGTGTGGGGACATGAATATACTCCAATAATCCAAGAATTAACGAAAGCTTTGCCTTAAGGAGGAACTGCACCGTTTTCAAGCGGAGATTTATGCGATATTGCAATGTGCAAAAGGAAATAATGAGAGATCTCTTGAAAAAGAACAGATCCATGTATTGTCTGACACTCAAGCGGCACGGAAGGCACGGGCGTGTCAGGAAGTTACATCTAGGCTGGTGGGGCACTGCATCAAAGAACTGAATGAACTGGGAAACCGGAACAAGGTAGAGCTTGTCTGTGTACCAGAACATCAGGGATCGAATGCAACGAAAAAGCAGATAAACTTGCAAACAGAGAATCGAACGAATTAAACGAACCGGCTGTAACTCTGAGAGTACCAAAGGCGGCAGTTCATAGGGCTGTAGAGAACTGGATCAAAGAGAGTCGTGAACGAAAAATATTCACTGATGGTACACCTTTTAATGCTAAAGCAAATTAAATTTACAGCTTTAATAAATATTTCAATATAAAACTTTACAAAAAATAAAATTTTTACAAAAAAAAAAATGATAACGGGATAACAATAGCTGGCTCAAACTAGCAAATCTGACGTGATGTAGCAGAGTTTTAAAACGCAAGTCATCCCCATATAGTGTACTCTGTTTTTGTACTTATTGTTGAGGTGCATAAGAGTTGAAAACTTAGCTTAACCACAGATTAATAAACAATCAGAATGCCCACTCTCCTTTAAAAATTAAGTACGCGCATCTCCTTCGCGCAGACGTTCCGCCATGTTTTAGAGGGAACCAGTGTTGTTTTGTGGTGTGCATAGACAAAATTAACCTTACTTTGGTTTAATTGACTTACGGCAATCATAGACTATACAATTATATTAACATTGTTAAATATAATAACATCAATATAATACAATTAAACATAAATATAAACAATTACATAACCTCACAAATCATATGTCTGTGTTATGTGTTTCCTTCTAAAACATGGCGCGCGTGCTGAAAAACTTCAAAGGCGGCATCTGAGAGTGGGCATTCTGATTGTTTATTATTCTGTTGCTTAACACAAGTAAGATATTAAAAAAGTGGTGAAAATTATATTACTTTATCGGCAAGCCCACAATAGTCTCGATGTCGTAGTATCCAGAAGTCATAAGAATAATTTACTGAGCAATATTTTACTAAGACAAAACTTATTTGTTGCGAAAGTGAAAGTTTTAGTAAAAATTTACCAGATTACAGAATTAAGAACATTAATTCTGCAATCCTAATGGAGTACTGTAAGCTCCTTAAAGGCTCTTGTTGGCATCATTGTGCTTAGTCAAAACATCTGCTAAATAGGTCAGTCGCCGTAGCCTTAGTTCGCCTTTAAAACCATTACGGAACTCATACTATGTGTTAGTTAAAACAAATAATATTTCGTATCTTAGTTGAAAAACTAGAGTTAACCAACACTTTCCTCTTGACATTCATCTTAACTCTGTGTGTAGCAGTACTTGTTTATGCGTGTCACAAAAATTATTAAAAAGCCGAGACTTTAGTGATCTGCTTTTAAGAAAGTTTACGGTCTTTACAGCTTCGTTCATAACTACAGAACACAAGGACTGGAGTTCTAGAGAATATTTGATTAAAAGTATCGAGGCGAGAGTCAGTATATTATTGACCAATATGCTGCGTATCACGCTTATCACATGTTAAAAACCACTGTTATTGACTACTTAAAATTGATAGGTCGGAATTTTACCAATTTGTACATCAGTATCTGATTCTCTGGATCTACTCTCATTTATGTATTTTTTATATTTAATTTTGATTACTTAAATGGTAGGAAAATCTACCAATGTGTGTATCATGACATTGCTCTTTGGAGCATATAGTTTTAATTTAGTATTTTTCCTGAGTGTAAATAAAAGTTTTGTAATAAAGTTGTTTTCTAATAAGTTGTATGTTGATCTCTACCTCTGTAACAAACTATTTTGCTTACCTCAGGGTAAGTACATGGGAGTAGAAGATTGGGGACAGAAACTACTGGGGTAGAGATAGGGCAAACAAAATAATCGAAACTGATGCGTACGACACTCAGAGGGTTGTTGGAGAGCTGTGTCGTGGATAAGTTGAATAAAATTGGTCGGATTGGGGTATCTACAAAATGAAAACAAAGGGATACTTACATAAATCTCCTGGGTCAAAAACGAAATAAGATATGGCAGACAAGGTTACCTCTAGCTATTTCTATTTGGACGCCGCTTCGAACAAAACTTTCTGCTGAGAGAAAGAAAAAATTCTTCTTCTCTAAAATCAAAAATACATACAAGGTTTACGAGACTTTTCTAAATTAAAACACAAAATGAATCACACAAACAAATCAAACTTTTATTTTTGTCTCAAACCGTTTTCAAAAATACAGATTACACACGAAGCATACTATATAACATAATACAAATTAACAAAACTTACGTGTTATTTGTTTACAAAAGAGATTGCTACAAAAATTTTGAAATGGTTCCTAGGTTATAATATGGCCAAATCAGATTATCAAAACTTAAGGATATCCTTTTTATGAAAATACTGTAGAATTTAACCTTATATATGAAATATCTTTTCTATATAATAATCAAATGAAAATTGTTTTACAACAACAATGGATTAGAGCAAAAAGTCATATGTCAATATAACATTTTAAGACAGAATAAAATATGACATTTTTTAGCTACGAGTCAACATAATATAAAACTTTAATTATTACAAATTCTTTTATTTTAATGAAAGTAATTATTAAAAATGTCTATATAACTTGGAAAAATTAATATATTAATTGTTATCTTATTTTTCGCATATTTCGCCACTTAACTTAAAAAGAAAAAACTTGCTACATCTCTGGAGAAGCTACTTGAACAAATTCTCAAACTGGAAAAGAGAAAACCATTTCCATACTCAGGAACGACGATCAAATCAGGTTTGGTGGAGGAATCAAGCTGGCAAACGACAACAAAGCTGGTGGGACATCCTATATACTAATCTTTAAAAACTCCACCTTTCTCCGGTACACTGTACAAATCCTTTGATAACTGCTCTGTCTAAACTGCTTTTTATGCAAAGATTATTATCATATTGACTGGTCTTAAGACATAACCAAAAAAATTGAATCAACTTTCGGTTCAAAGTCGCCCCAACACGTCATCTCAATTTAACTGCCCTAGCTTGACTTCATCATTCGGTTGATCTAGCTTTACTGACTTACTGGGTTATATTGTACAAATTCAAAGCCAAATAATTTCCCTTCGCTTCTCCGCAGCTAAACAAACAATATCCCTCTTGACCCTCGTTCTAAACGACGAACGACAACAAAACCTCTTTTTTTCTGCCTGTCTCGTCAAAAAAACTTGAAATATTCTACTTTAAAATAGCCGAAATGACACGTACAAATTGGAGGATTTTGAAT